CATTGGTCATAAAAATGTTGTGTAGTTCAGCTTTAAACCCCATTCTTTTGTTAAATTATCCAGTAACCTCTACTCTTGCGGTTCTATGCTGAGGAACATTGAAGGTATTATTAAAAGTAAACTGTGAAATGGTAATTTTTTGTGTAGAAAAATACTTCCAGAATCATTGGCTGATCCTCCCTTTCCTCTCACTGTTTTGTCCTTTTATCTTGGTTAAAATTATAAGGTGTTCAGATTTTACTATCTACATGCCAGCTTTTACCCTACAACCACTGCCATTAACCAACCCACACGCAATCCTAACACACACCAGGAATTATTTATCATGCCTCACTATCTGTTATCACACACACACACACACACACACACACACACACACACACATCAAAAAGTATTTATTTCACTGTCCAATTCCTCCTCCTCTTCTTTCTCTCCATCTGGTGCCTCTCTGTATTTTTAACCAGCGGAGATAAAAGCTCTCTCCCACCTGTTTTCTGGTTGTACAGGAACTGCTCGGTATAAAGCATTGAGAGTATCTGCACGTTTCACAAAGTCAGATTTATAACTTAAAGACGTTTATAATGCCACCTGGAATTAAATTTAATACCAACTTAATAACCACAATAAAGAGCCCAAAATCTGTCACAAGCAGCCTCTTTTTGATTATACACAGCTGATAAAAATAGTAAAACTAAATGTAAGCATAAGGAAAATGACACTTGGAGATGAAGTGTAGGGACATCATGTTCAATTGTGTATTATAAAGTAGCTGCAATTAAAATAAAGCCTGTTCCCTAGCGACCTCATTTCTTAACACAAGCCCAAAAATGACATGCAGCACTACTCTGGCCCCATTCACACCTTGGTAAAATGGCACAATCCATGAGAATAATTATCTTAATTAATCTTGTTTGCTGTATTTTCCAATTCTGTGGATTACCAAGAAAATCATCATGGTTTTGGAATTGTTGAAGATCAATAGATGACATTATTACAACAGCCCTAAAGAAAGGAGAGGGATAAATGTAGAACCTATAGCTCACAGATTACTGTACAGTGCATTAAAGATGGACAGTGAAGATGGATGTCAGCTCCCCAGAAATGAAGCTGAAATATCTTACCCCCTTGTGGCTGGCTGCAGTATAGGTAATAAACCCTCCATGTTAGCAGATGGGACATCAGGCCAACTAAACAATAAGTCAAGTACACGTCAAATACATTTTCCCCAAAGATGGCTTCTGTCATTTTAGATACTTCTGATCATGCTCCTGTATGTTCAAGTTTTCATTTTTGTTAGAAATTGGTTTTATTACGTTAGTTAAAGCTATAAAAAGGCTGTTTTATGTCATGATTGACAGCTGAGCTTTTCGGGTACTGTGTATTGGTATATCGTAATCTTTTAGGCAATCTTCAGCCCTATTGCCCTGAAAGTTCAGAAAGAGTCTGATGATCATGCTAGGTTGTCTCACGGAGGAGAAGGAAGGTCAACCTGTAGTATTGTTCTTGTACATTCATACATGAGCTTAAACTGGACTAGAATACAGTGCTACATTGATATCCTGGGAAGGGGCTGCTGTGGTCTTACCCACCTTGTTTGATACAGTCAATGTTTTTTATTGAATTCTGGCAGCCAGTGGGGTAAGGAATTGGGGGGGGGTAATAACCAAGAATAATAAAACACTCTGACCTTCATACTGTAGACCAGCATTCTAAATAGCACAGATCCAACAGAAACATTAAGTCAAGCTGGATTACATCATTTTGCTAATTAATGGTGTAATTCTGCTTTGTCATTTGTGTTTTGGCTGGATGATGAGGCCTTTTAGCCTTGATGAAATGATGCTCACTTGTGGCACCCATTCTTTATCTTGCCAATGATGTGCAAAGTTGCCAAGAAGGTGTATCTTTCATGCCAATAAAGAGCCTTTGAATTGAATTGATCGAGGGGAGAATGTGGGGAGCAGAAATAGGGGTACAATGAGGGACAAAGTGATGAAGGAACAGACAGAGGCTACAGGCAGGTATAATAATCAGTCATCTCTCTCTCAGGTCATAATCTGTCCATTAGTCTCAGACAGGGAAGCATAACCACTCAATCTAGGCTTTAATGGGACGGTGCTTACATGCTTAGACAGAGCCAGTGAACCTGAGCCACTGAGCAATTGCCTGAGTGGTACAATGAATGAGACTTGAAACTGGGGCTATGGTACATGTGATGGAGAGCGTCTCTCTGCCTCCATTGCTTTTTCAATCTCTGATCTTAATGCGTAAATGATGATAGACGTTGGTATATAGATTTATTTTACCTCGAGCATGGAGAATTAATTTTGTACAGTGTGCATTCTCATTGTAAACCCACAATTTATATGGTACGGAGCAACTCAAACACAGTATTGACTATCTATTCATAAACCTTGGCAACTCCTGGGTTGTGGATGTTTCTTGGTGCGTAAAGTAACATAACATTTTGAGTTTGCAAGCAGGCTAAATGTGTCAAAGCCCCTGTTGTGCATCCTCTTTCAAAGGTCATCTTAATATTCAAGGACAGAGTCTCTGCACGCTCTTAGACTGTGACTGAATAAGCAGATTTTGGTTTAGAAGGCCTGAGAGGTTGTGCAGCATGCTAACTGCTGAATATTTGTAAATTTACATGGGGTTTAAGTCAGACCTTGACAAAAGTGCTGTGTTCTTCTTACTTTGCAGGTTGAACACTTTGGGTGATAAATATATACAGTAAATAAATGTATGTAAAGCTCTGAGGACCACTTTCCTAAATGTAACATGTACCTGTATTGGACATCTACGTCTAATTTAGATTAAAAATTATTTGATTTGTCGTTCCCCTAACCTGCACTACATCATATCCAGCTCTAGGCAAGGTGGTGTACAGTAGTGGCACCCCAAATGTATTACATATACAGTATGTTCCCAAATAATCTTTCAAGGGCAAATGATGTTGATATTTTATAATACATTTACATCTAGTCAGTCTTTCTCTACAGATTCAACTGTAATTAATGAGTGAATTTGTTAATTATTAGTTTTGATAATAATTTGGACTATATTATTTGCACAAAATAGTTTGCTTTAGCTTGTAATAAATGTAAAATTATTTATTTATTTATTCTTTTAAAGTAAAAATTTGGGTTCGGGTCGGGCTTGGTTGCTCGGTTTGGGCTTGCATGGAATTTTTCCAGGGCCAGATGTTTTGGGCCTGATTAAAGCTCTAAAAGTAAAAAATGACCAAATCTGTGCAAGTTAAAGCTGCAGTAGGTAACCTTTATAAAAATAACTTTTTGTCATGTTTGCTGAAACTTTCACTATATCATGACAGTAGTACATGAGACAATCTGTGAAGAGTCAAGAAATATATGAAAACGCTCTGGGTTGGAGGATTTTTTGGGGGGGCTTTTTATTGCCTTTAATTGTTAGTGACAGCTGAAGAGTGACAGGAAAGGGGTGGGGGAGAGAAGGGATGACATGCAGCAAAGGCGCACAGGCTGGAATAAAACCCATGACTGCAGCAAGGTCTCAGCCTTGGTAAAAGGGGCACCAGCTCTACCAGGTGACCTATCAGGGCAGGGAATCAACAATCAACTATCTTTCTCGGCTCTGATTGGTTGTTTTCATTCAGGCCCGGTGGATTCTTGTAAATGTCATTAGGAGCACTAGAAGGAGCCAGAGGAACCTGATTGTTTCACAGATTACCTGTCTCATGTTCTACTGTCAGGATGTAGTGAAAGTTTCAGCAAACAAGACAAATGTTATGAAAGTTACCTACTGCAGCTTTAATGAAGCCATTGTATGAGGGGGTGGTGGCACTGCTGTACAGGAGACCGAGGGAAGGTGCTGAACACTTAAAATTTTACAAATGCATGAATCAAGGTCACTGTGTTGTGGAATCATGAGAGGAGAGATCGATATGTTCAGTTTAACACATGAACCAACACTAAATCATTCTTATGGGAGGGAAAGGCTATGTGTGTGTGTGAGTGTTTGTTGGGGAGGGTATTAGGGGTTGATGCTCAAGCTGGCTGGCTGGACAGTGGAGATGAGTTATGCCTCTGCATAGAAGTCCAAAACAGGAGCCACTGAGCACACACAAACAGATAGATACACACACAGAGACAGACACACACACACACACTATACTGTGCACACTGCAGTGTTATGTCTAGAGTCCAAGACTCTTGTTATTTGCTGGTCGGTGCAGAATCACACAAACAAACACATCTGTTCACATCTTTCTATTTACTTTGTATGCAACTGCATCGCTGTAAAAAATGTTACTACAGGCCTGAACACATTGGATGGCACAGTGTGTCGTTATGTGTAATTGCGACCCAACACTCAACAGTTAAACACAAAGCCTACTTAACTAAACTACAAAACCTGGCTTGAAAGCAGCATTCCAGATTCATATTCAACATTTGACTCAAAATACAAAAAAAAAGAATGTCTGTCTGTTCTTCATCATAAAATTATGGTTCTATCCATTTGTATGTCGACACTGGTTACTGAGATCATGTTGCCCCATCAGCAGGAGCTAAATCATTGTGCGTCATGCTTTCTCACTAATTTCACACATCGTAGTCATCCCTGCTCTGTGTCTCAAAGATGGAATTCCTGACTGACAAGAAGAAATAAAAAATCTCCTGAAATTTATCCATGCTACCTCATATCTCTTTTGCCATCTTGTAACTACACACGATCCAGTAACTATGTAAGATTCGTTATTCCATATGTATGGACTAATCTTCACAGAACCAGTTTCATGACTTCTGCACCTTTTAAATGGATTAAACAACAAACTGCTTTCAAGCTAGATTTGTCCATCATCCTTGGCAATTTATTTATTTTTATATTATATTATACTTTTTTATGAATCTTGTGTGCACTTGTCTTCTCAGGTCTCTCTTGAAAAGAGATCTCAATCTCAGTCAGACTACTAGATTAAATAAAGTTTATCACCACCACCATTATGTCGTCATCAGTGGTACCTTTGAGTTTGTTTTGAACATCCAGGGCAATGTCCAGAGGGTAGAATGGCAGCACAGGATCGTTGACCAGGCGGAGAATGGCTTCTGCTGTCATCTGTAGAAACACAGTCAAAAAAGATTTGAATGAAGTTAGTTCTTATTTGATTTTCTCCACTACTGCATTCATGTGTCATGTCATTGCAACGTAAGCACATAACAGAGTCAGTTTATATATTAATTTGTCATTTCTATAGTTTGTGATTAATTGTCTTTCAAACTCGCAAGAATTCTAGTATTTCACCGCTCTGCTAATATAATACATGTTGCAGATCTTATACTGATATAAATACTGCTGTAAATGCTGTAAATGCTCCAGCGTAACAAAAATGACTGGTGACAAAAATGTGATATTTCACATGTATGTCACCACTTGATTGTTTTCATGCAGAATACATCATGTTATTTTTATATTTTTTTCAGTGTGGGTATTGGGTATCATCATATCCTGCTAGGCAGGTAGACTTGCAAGAATACGCTAGAATCCACACGAGAATCCATCTTGCCAGGTTTCACTGTGAGCCACCAATCAACGTCCTATGAGGATATACCGGCACAGCCTGTGGTAGAATTGACTATTTGCTCAAAAACAACAATGGCGGGTGCTAGCATCAGTTCTATCAGAACTAGAGAGTATTTCTTAACTGAAAGATGAGCAAAGAACGACACTGAAGGCTTTTCTCCATGAAAAGATGTTTTCGTTCTTCTTCTGACTGACTAAAATGAATAAGAATTTGACTACTTTAGATGTTTTCGTTGATCTGGGATGGATAGTGATAGACAGATAGTTCATCCAATCACCTGCCGAGTAGTCCTTCCCCTTTTCCAAACAGTTTCAAACAACAACTTCCCTGGGATGCTTCTCTTAGTATTATTATACATTTCCAGAATGTGGAAAGAGTGTTGCTGCTGCCTCTGTTGGTCACTTAAGAGAACTCTGTAGCCCTCTTAAAGGCACACTATGCAAGATTTTTACCTTAATATAACAGCTTCAAAGTCATTTCGATGGTAAACAAACTCGTAGTATAGCGAATCATCCCGATAGCAAAGCAGGAGAGGGACGCCGTTGGCAGAACCAGCAATGCAAGTGTAAAAGGTGGCGCCCCGCCAAATCACGAATTGCTTTACGGCGCGACGTCACATACATCAGCGACATACGAAGCAGCCTCAATGGAAGACACTAGCAGGCAATCACTCAGACGTTACCTGGTCAGTAGACATCTTCGGAGTCTATCTTTGCCTGTTCGATGTCCGACGCTTCCATCCTACTGAACATGTACCGGTATACAAGGGGGAGGGGATCAGGCCGTGAGTGCAGAGACGCAGAGCCGTATATAGAGACGGCTCTGGTGAGTGGTATTTACGACAGTTAACGTTAAATACAAGTACTCCGCAGCGACTCTAAGGGTAGCTGTTTGACAAAACCGGAAAAGTGCATAGTATGCCTTTAAATAATTTAGGAGCTGACCAATTCCAACACTACCAAATGTTTCTGCATGGAACTTATTTTTACCCCATTCTTAGAATTTCTATGCACCAAAATGTTATGGCAGAAAAATCTGTTTTGTATGTGTTTTGTATTCTTTCTTTAAATAGTTTTTTGGGACTATATTTTTGCCTGCTTTTGGACAGGACAGCTCAAGAATGACAGGATAGGGGGGAGAGAGAGGAGATGATACGCAGCAAAGGACGGCCAAGGGTCAGACTTGAACCTGTGATTCAAATTGTGCCTGGACTGTACTGCTTTGATATTAACACAACAATGCATCAGATCCTAGAGGAAGAAAAACAAACTGTAAAGAAGTGTGATGAATAATCCTGAATAAGAAATTGTTGCATTCTTACGTAACACTAGTCTTCTTCTTCAAGGATGTAACCCGTATTCAGAGGCAATATGACTTATTTTCAAAATAAAAACCCATTTATATGCGCACACTTCTGCCTGTTTTCAACACCTTTCAGTTGTGTGCCTTTGGGTATTGATTGGTACTTAGGAACATAGAGCTAACCAATCAGTCAATTCATGTCGTATCTTGTCCTCCACGGCGTCGGGGGCCTCAGATCTGATAGTGCCCCTTCGTGGTCCAGATTGTAAATTGGAAATCTGAGACTCTCTGCAACCTTTTGCTTTTTAAACTGATTAAACAACAGCTGTAATGTGAGAGGAAAATAAATAAATAATTGGGACAACTTTGGCTGCAGTGTGAGCAAACATTTATGGAGATCCCTGCTTGCGCTGGCACCTCATACTGAGCAGCATCATCCAAATCACAGAGAGTGTCTGTCTGGCTCTGCTCTCACACTGAAGTGTCTGTCGCCTTAATGCAAACAGTGCCGCAGATTCGGCCGCACTCTGCAGGTAGAGGACTTGGCATGCCTTCGACTTGGAATTTTACTTGAGTATAACATCACTGCAGCTCGCTGTTCTAATCAGCCTCTCTGTATAAAAACCACAGCTGGGATTATTGATGTATTGATCCTCTTTTTCCACAGCTGTATCATCCTCACAGGAAATACACCACTCGCTGTATTCCAAGAAAATTGAATTTCTCAGTACCACACTGTAATTGGAATCACCTTTATCAGCCAAGGACATCACATGCATGATTCACATTCATTTACACATCAAAGATACAGCATCCTAGAAGAATCTGAGCCTTCTTTGGCACTTTTATTCTCTGTAGGAAAGGTAGTAAAGAGGACACAGACCATTTCCAACCTTTCATTCTGATCGCCCTTGTTTTTATTTATGCTTTCGTGTTTTTATCAAATGATATACATATTACATTTTTCAATATACTTTTACATTGCCTTATTGGACAGGGGACAAGGAGGAGCAAACAAAAGTAGAAAGAGAAGGTTATCACATGCAATAAACCAGGTGGTACAGGTATATAATGTTAAACTTTAAATTTGTGTCTTATGTCTAATGTCTTATGCTCTATAGTTTTATATAAAAGCTTATTATTTAATGCCTTTTATGCATTATGTAAGGAACACTGAATTCCCCTTGTGTATAAAATGTCCTAAGCCCACAGTAGGGCCTTTTGCTCCATAGCTGAAGAACAGCAGAGAAAGTAAAGGTCAGTGTGCAATACGGCTATCTCTCTCTCTTTCTCTGTGTGTGTGTGTGTGTATATGTGTTTTCCAGCTGACCTGGTTCATTCCTGGCCAGTGAGCCTCAAGTCTGTCTCCAGTTGAGCAAACTCTTGGATGATAACCTCAGTACCCAGTTCATCCACTCAGGGGCACACATCGCACACTCAAATGCACACACATATATGCACACACACTCCACTCTCCAGGCCCTCACAGGTTGAATGTGTTGGAGGTCGTCCTGACTAAGACCGGACTGAGAGCGAAAGGCAGACTGCCAGCAACCTCACTACAGGGTCAGGTGAGGAAACAGCCACAGCACTCAGTCAAGCCTCTCCCATTCACGGATGCTATGTTGCTTGTAAACATCAATATATTATTTTCAGGTGAATCTGTAATATCTCAGTGTGATTACTGTAAAGATTGAAGCCATGGTGGAGATGACAGAGGGCCTCTAACTTGCCCAATGTCTGTCATGGGATCTAATGTATTCTTTGCTTTCATGAAGAGGACAAACATATTGAAAGTGATTTTTCTAACTGCTCTTCACTCCTACCCACCTCATGCCATAGCCAGACCCTTTCAAAGCTTTAACCCTCCAATGGAAGAAAAGCGGCATCTTCCTGTTATTATGTCACAAACTAACCTACTTTTGTGCAGTAAAGGTAACCAAAACCAACAAGAAGGCACACAATGTAAAATGTAGAGTAGAGGTAGATAGAATCATTCAGTTTTTAAGGAGTGTATGTGCTTGTTGAGAGAATTAGGTCTCAATGTTGGTGCTTATCAGGATCCAATAGTGCCAATATGTATTTTGCTAATAGCTGCTGAATGGTGACACAAAGTCTTATTTAAATATGCAAATTTTTATCATCAAGTGATAATTAGTCAGTGTTGTGTTTGCAACTTTCTGTGCTGCCTCCAAATGACAAAAAATAAATAAATATTTTTTTAAATAAATGAATGGAGGTTTAACACAATTGGTATGCAATGTATTTGAATGAGCACAAAAGTTTTTGCCAAATTATAGATGTGCAACCAAATTTAGAAGCCGCCTCAGGTATAACTACAGAAAAATGATAAATTTAAATGCCAATTCTTTTTTTTTTGCCTTCTAAAACCTGAATTTGAAGGTCCAGTGTGTAGGATATAGTGGCATCTAGCAGTGTAGTTGTAGATTACAACCCCCTTGCCTCACCCTCCTTTCGAAGCGTGTAGGAAAAACTATGGTGGCTGCGAAACTTCCAAAAATGCAAAAGGCCCTATCTAGAGCCAGTGTTTGATTTGTCCATCCAGGGCTATTGTAGAAACATGGCGGTCCACAGGGGCTTAGCCATAGGTTGGCGGGGCTGGGTCATGCCTCAGGGGAGATTTCTTTTCCAATTTACAGTAGCTATAGGCACTATTTTTGAGTCAGTTGAATCAATAGAATGATTAAAAATCATTTAGAAAAAACACGATAGTTACACAGAAAATAAATAATTAACAAATATTTTTGTTAAACTGTTCCGGAGTAGAGTTCCCTGCCACAATAAAGAAACACTAACAATGCCAAGCAAAGTGCTCTTTAATTCTTTGAATTAGGCCAACAGAAGAACATTTACTTAAATCATATTACATTTCTTTGGGGAATAGCATAGTAGGATAAACAACATAGAGATATATTGTTATTTTCTCTGCTCTCCTTTCCTCCTCTTTTCTGCAGACTGTCTGCAAGGTCATAACACTGTGGGGACACACACAACCCCCAAGTGGATGAGACAGTATTAGTGGTCCAATGTGTATCATTTAGGAGGATCTATTGGCTGAAATGGAATATAATATTCATAGGTATGTTTTCATTCGTGTATAATCCCCTGAAAAGAACAACTGTAATGTTTTTTTTTTTAACCTTATTTACCGTTTTTATCTACACACACCATTGTTTCTCCTACACATTTCACAGCCCGTTCTCATTCCGTG